AAAGATTCGTTAATTTTGCTGAACGAGACTCAAAGGTCCGAGTCGGTAAAATGATCCGAACTTCCCATCACTAGAATGTTGGACACTTCAATCACTCAACTGTCGTAGCTTTAATTACGTAGCGAAGGGGGAGGGGCTACTATATCTAGGGGCTACTTTAATTACGTAGCGGAGGGGGAGGGGCTACTATATCTAGGGGCTACTTTAATTACGTAGTGAAGGGGGAGGGGCTACTATACCTAGGGGCTACTTTAATTATGTAGCGAAGGTGGAGGGGCGGATATCAGACTCCGATTATGAATGACAAAATAACCTTATATAATTCATACACTACATGATTGAGTACATAGTACTCCGATTATGAATGACAAAATAACCTTATATAATTCATATACTACATGATTGAGTACATAGTGCATAAGTACATAGTGTATAAGTGCATAGTGTATAGTGCGTCATTTGGGACGCAGCTAATATTTTTTGTGGGCATTTTATAGATCCAGTATTTTATTTTATTTATTTATTTACTTACAATGGTAATATCTTGTTTTTACGACATGTTAATTGGAGTATAAAGTAAAATCCATAATACACTACTGGTCAAAAGCCTCTTATTGTCACCAAGACTGCATTTATTTAAAAATAAATAGGTCATATATGTCAAAATATCATTTTACCAGTACTTTCTCTGTAGACCAAACTCACTCTGGAACTTTGTTCACTTGTCATTACTCGAGTAATGCAACTAAAAACACAACAGAAATCATGTCAAAGGGGTGCCACGTGTCCTCCTGTCCCCCACTGACAGCACGTTTGTTTTGATGGGAACATTGGGGTATTTGCAGCTCATTAGCAGGCAGGGCCGGGGCACCTAAAGAGTGACGGCCCACTGCCACTATTGGATTATGGGAGGGATTTGGCCACAGACAGTCCAACAGCCACTCAATCCCAGCGCTCTTTGTGCGTGAGAGCTCACACACTCTCTCACATATGCATCTCTCCGATCAAAGTGTGTGAAACCACAAGGATACAGACTAAGACTTGGAAAATGAACCTCTTCTGTTTCACTCTGGTAAGAGAAAGTTTCCTTGTTCGTTCTTTTATATACACTGGACAGCTGGATATGAACTCAGTTTTTATGATTCATAAGCTATTTCAGAAGATTAACAGAAATGAGAGGTTGACACCTCATGATCTGAACTGATTCACGCTGACATTGTATGCCATATCAGATTGAACTGATTATCTGCGTCTCTAGATCCTTGATTCCACTGGTGTTGGTTTAACTTGAGCTGTACTTGTACGTTTGTATAACAACAGTGGTTTAATATACTCAAGTGATGCTTTTCATTACAAACCAATATTTCAGAAAAAGTTGCTAAAATGCTCATTTTAGCTGCAGATATCATGACATTATCTTATGGTAAGAGAAAGTGGGATTGTGATTGTATGGAAACGTTAGGTAAGGATTACCGTGAGACAGAGAGCTCCTTACAGCAGATCACGGATCAGCAGAAGGGAAAATGTCCTATTCATAGATCAGGGGCACCACAGCACCTCTGAAGGTCTTGAGAGGCCACTACATTCTCCGAATCCAGATATATCCATCCAACAACAGCCTGTGGCTCCTGAACATGCGTGAAAAGGGTCTCTCGACAATCCATACTTAATTTTCATAGAATGCAGATCTAAAAATCAAAGATCAAGACCTTTAGCCACACATCTATCACATGGTTATTGCATAATTGCAGAAATATTGCGCATATCATGAGTATGTTGGAGATTAATAATAATAACAATAATAATATGGATAATTATAAAATAATATAAACAATAATACATTAAATATATAAAAGGATATAGTATTAATACGTTACTTACTTAAATAAAAATTGTGATTCATCACCTTTGACCTGTCATAGATCACCCCTAAAAGCTCTTTAACCTTAGTAATCCTGCTTTAGAGGTGCAATTTGACATAAACTGTTGAGGTACTTGAACTAAAAGGCTCATATTTCTTAGAATAAATATTCTTATTTTGTGTTTGGTGCAGGATGGCTCTACAGACAGCCTGTACGAGCTGGCCCAGATTGGCCAGAACACTCAAGATTTATTACCCAGAAGGCTGCCTAGTCCCAACTCTGTGAAGAACGTTAGTGTGTGGAGTGGATCTAAGCCCTGCATCGCCATGGTGGGTTCATCTGCACGTGCCTAGAAATGCAAGGGAAATCACATGGTCTTTCGTGAGACATTGAGCTGTAGTTATGTCGAATGTGACATTGACGAAAATATTAATAAGGAAAAGTGCTGCCACCTGTATAACCGCTGATTAATTTGTGAGTGACGTGTGTGGGCTACAGCAGGTCGCACTCATTAGGAAATTACCAAAATCCCAGCATGACTTTTTATCCAGATGAGATGCCGCATGAGGCCATGGACATCTGATGTATCAGATATCATGATGCACTAAATATATTCTTGTATTTTATTCTAGAAGCTTCCAGAGACTCACACAAGTAAGACTCAAGAAAGTAAGATTTTGGAAAAGGCAAAGAGAAAGTAAGTTCTGGATCTTTTGGTCTGTTAATGATACTTCAAGACCTGTATAACATGTTATTTATGTTAATACATTTCTCAAAATTACACCTTTTATGAGAATGATAACATAAACGTAGACTGTCAGGTGGGATTATTTGCATCAGGGCGCCCATTAGATCATGATGTGCCATATGCTGTGTTTTATGAGAGAATGAGAGAGCTGGATTAGGATTATATTAATTGGGACAAGTGTGAGGGATTTAGTTACTGTTCTAACTCACCTGTTTAAACCAGTGCCAGACTTGTCCCTGTTTAAGCATCATATACTGGTAATGAGTTGCTTGCAAAATAGCTCAGTTTTGACCAGAACAAGTCATGTCATAGTTACAGAAAAAGAAAAAAAAAGAAAAGAAGAAAATGAATACTGACTAACAAAAATTAAAAACTGAGAGAACTGACTGAGTGATTCAGTCTGAATCACAGCCTATGTGAACTGTGAACCGATTCAGACCGTTTGCTTAACCCGTTACAACCGTTTAAATTCCATCGAGTGGCTTTTTTTTTTTTTGTCTAAATAGCCGACAGAAAAACGCTGATCGCATAGCTATTTTAGCCTGATCTGCACGTTACTCTAAGTGATTCAAATCTTCTCCAAACGGCTCAGTGCTATCTGAATGATTCAATTTCTATCCGTGAATTTACCGAAATCGTTTCGCTACACTGGAATGAACCGACTCACAGTGATTCATTCACAAAACAAACATCGATTTGCTAGTTCTATTTCTAAACAGTCGACAGAAAAATACTAGTCATAGTAATTTTAACGTGTTATGTATGTACTATTTCTGTTTACCTGACAAGCGTCACTGTCCATCGTGTTTTCTTGAGCTGCAGCACCTGATCTGGGTAATATTTACAACGAAGAGCCTGTTTTTATTTTGGTGTCTGATGTTTCTGTCCCACTGGCAGCCTTCCATAAACTTTTACTTTTATGGCTATATAACAAGCGTCACTGTCCATCGTGTTTTCTTGAGCTGCAGCACCTGATCTGGGTAATATTTACAACGAAGAGCCTGTTTTTATTTTGGTGTCTGATGTTTGTCCCACTGGCAGCCTTCCATAAACTTTAACTTTTATGGCTATATAAGTTATGGTTATGTTATAATATATAGTTATGGTTATATCATTCAGGTTTATGGTATGGTATGGTAGCTTATGGTACAGGGCTGCCAGGTTTTCACGACAAAACCCGCCCAATTGCTACTCAAAACTAGCCCAGTTGGATTTTGAGGGGGGCTCCCCGTTAAAAATCGCGTTCCGGGGGGTAAAATACATGTTTCTGGCGGGGTTACCCTGGTAAAATTCGCACTCCAGGGGCTAAATATCACGTTATCGGGGTCGCTTTAACCCGCGGACATGAAACACAACCCGCGGCAACAGTGATAAAGTAGCCCAATTCCGCGGGAAAACCGCGGACTTGGCAACACTGCTATGGTAGGCTACTACAACAGCGAGTTATAAACTGAAAATAAACTTAATGAATAAAATGCATTTCTACAAAATATTTATATATATTATATATATAATATAAATATATAAATATAAATATAAATATATTTATGATTAAAAGATTTAGGGATTAAAAGAAGCAAACAATAAAAAAAAAACTTCATAAAAGAAAGAGCGTATAGCTTTGCTGTTATTATAAAAACAACAGAGACAAGTTTTCGATTTTTTGAAAGCTACAAATAAAATTTGCTTGTTGGAAAATTTCCATTGTGTGTGAAATTTAACTAATAGAATTATAATATTAATTGAATATGCCTCAATTTTAATATTGTTATCACACTTTAAATAACCATTATATACTGCAACATTAAAAAACTGTCAACTGTAAACATGTGCACATCCTTCCACAGGCCTTTTTTCACAGTTTAGAAGTTTGTTGTTGGAATGTTATGTTTATATATTTATTTATCTTATGTAGTTTCTCTTTCACATAACAGGTCCCAATTACTATCCACATCAGAAGACGAGACGACAGGTTTGTCTGTTTGTTTTGAATGAATACCCAGAATTCCTTGCTGATTTCCCTCACAGTTCATTAAAAACGTAAACCGCATGCCTAATACTACAGTACTAATAATACTGCTAGTCATAGAACAAAGTGTCATAGAGTTTAAAGGTCTGTCAAATTCAAAAGCTACAAATAAAATTTGCTTGTTGGAAAATTTCCATTGTGTGTGAAATTTAACTAATAGAATTATAATATTAATTGAATATGCCTCAATTTTAATATTGTTATCACACTTTAAATAACCATTATATACTGCAACATTAAAAAACTGTCAACTGTAAACATGTGCACATCCTTCCACAGGCCTTTTTTCACAGTTTAGAAGTTTGTTGTTGGAATGTTATATTTATATATTTATTTATCTTATGTAGTTTCTCTTTCACATAACAGGTCCCAATTACTATCCACATCAGAAGACGAGACGACAGGTTTGTCTGTTTGTTTTGAATGAATACCCAGAATTCCTTGCTGATTTCCCTCACAGTTCATTAAAAACGTAAACCGCATGCCTAATACTACAGTACTAATAATACTGCTAGTCATAGAACAAAGTGTCATAGAGTTTAAAGGTCTGTCAAATTCATAATCCGAGGGTCAGTTATTCCATCCAGGACTTCATCTGTCTGGAACCGTAGCATTAAGCTTTATGCGTCTGAATTTTTTTTGCCTTGTTTCAGGATTAAGGATTGAACTTGAAAAAAATAATAATAATGTTTTGTATTTGACCCACTGAATTCCAGCAAAGCTCTTCTGCCTTGTATTTTTGAGCACTGTTACCCAAACACCAGTCCTGTTGACCTACTTGGCGGCAGTGCCTCTCGATAACACTATTTCATTTGCCTTCCATGTTTGGCTCTTAAAATAACCCGAAATGATCTTTGACAGATCATACAGAGTCGGATGCCCACTGGCCATCCACAAGGAAAAAAGATGGCTTGGTACACAGCAAGAACCATTCGAACACAGGTAACAGGTCCAAAGAGACGGCAGTGTGTGTGTTTTGTTTGCCGAGTAAGTGTGGTGGGCTCGGGGTCAGTGAGAGCCGTGCGTGTCAAACAGTCTTAGTGGATTAGATCAGTGACGACACAAAGCAATTCCAAAAGCCCATGTGAAACAGAGGATTTGATTTGGGCTCAGACTGATTCACTGACAGTCAGATAAAATGTGATCAGGGTCACACTCTCTTCCCCAGACTTCCCAAGTTTCCATCTAAATCTAAAGTCTGAATTGTCATAAATCCAGGGCTTGAGCTAAATTGTGCTGTATTTTAATCTAGAGACGGTCAAAGATCACCACCGGTCAAAACTCAGTAGAGAAGAGAAAGAAGAGCGGATGAATTCAGAGAAGACAGTTAAAAATCCTTCCGTCCAGGTAAATCACAGCAGCAATATTGTGCAATATTAGACAAACACATCAAACCCTGCCATCCAGAAAATGTGTCTTTTGATAATACAGGATACATTTCTCAGTGATTAAATTCTCCATTCCACTAATGTGATTCAGTCATCTGTGTATTATTGCACTTTTATCATTCTTTCAATGTCAGCCCTGAGATCTTTACAATAAGACAATATCACTTTCAAACTGATTCAGCATTGGTTTTTTAATTCACAGGGTGTGAATTTTGAAGCCTGGAATCCCAATAGAGAAAACTCTGAATGCAGACAGCAAGACTTGGTGAGTTTCTTCTCTGATGACTGCCTCAACTTTTCAATAGTTATTGCACTTTATTGTGGACAAAACGTCTGTTATGATTTTGTATTGAATACTGCCGTCACTTATGGCTCAGTCCAGATTTTTCATATTTCCCATACTAATTTTGAGGGGGAAATTTGAAAAATTATGCATAAATGGATTCATTTTTTTTTTTCTGAAAATTCAATCAGATGAACAAAATAATAGAAATGCACCAGTATTTATGGGTAGTATGATAAGCTGAATACAGATACATAAAAAAAGTAGCCAATATTACAATTTGTTCACATAAATTAAAAATAAAACACTAAGAACTAAAATGAATCATTTTAAACAAAAAGTGACTGATATTACAATGCAATATTATCTTGTTTATATATATATATATATATATATATAAACACCAAATACTAACATTGATCATTTTAAAATAAAAAGTGGATGACATTACAACTCTATATAATTTTGTTTAAAATAAAAATATAAATAAAACACAAAAATTAAACGTAATAATTTTAAATTGATCATTTGTAAAATTCTGTTCTATTTTAAATAAGTTACAAAAAACATTAAAAACTCAAATCAATCATTTTAATCATTTAGGCATAACATTATACTGTACAGTGTGAAAAAGTGTAAGGATTTTAATTTTGAGATTTTCTAAAAAAAAATGACTTTTTGTGAAAATGAATTATTATTTGTAAAGATTAAATTTAGGTAATCTAAATGTAAAAATAGAGAAATTAAGCATATACAATTAAATGGTCAATACAAAGACTGATAATCAGTATGGTACTGATATAATGTGCATCCATTTAAAATATTTAATAAACAAACACAAAGACATAAAGGATATATAGAAATGTGTGAGTACTTTTTAAAAACAATTATTTTAGTTATTTATTTTATTTCATTTCTAAGCCTGCTTGCCTATGGCTTCTGACATTGTGTGAAGTAAGGATAAAAAGGATAGAAGGAAATAAAAAAGTGTCTTAGGCTTTTCATGGAAATAGAGGTCAGATTATGAGGAACTCAAATGACATGTCAGTGTAAGAATGCACATCTGTGAAAGGCTTCTAATGAGGTCAGAGCCTGAGGGCAGAGCTTTAGTATTACCCAGAATCCCCAGCAGTTTGTAGAATCTCGTGTGTGTTGATCTGGAGGCAGACTGAGAGAGGTCAACTGTACACAGCATCTCTGATCTCCCTCACGTGCTGTAATTACCCAATGCCTCTTCATTTCAGACCAGGAGGTCAGAGAGTGAGGATGAGGCGCAAGGGACGCTGAAGAAAATCCAGAAACTGGTGGGAGGGAAAAAGGGGGGTCAAAGTGCCTCAGAGGAGTCGAGAAACAACACAGAACCTGGTGGTGAGAACCTAAATAATCATTTCCTCGTGTGAACAAAATAAAACAAAAAGCTGCATCATCCATATTGGTTCCTTTTTATGTCATTTGACAGAATCCAATGGCAAAGGCCACAGTCCTGTCATAACCTGCATCAATCTGACCAAAACAGCTGAGAAGAAGCACACAAGGCAATCCCAGCAGCCCCTGCAGGATAAAGACGTTGATACAGCAGAAACAGAGGCTTCTTGGAGTCCAGGGCTCTTTCAGGAGTACTGGAGCCCCGTGGTGTATTCTCCAGTGTGGGACACGTCCACACACACCTGCCACAGGTCATCAGCCGAACAGGTCATGTACAACTTCAACTTCACCCTCCCCAGAGACACGGACTGGGAGAAATACGAGGAGCTCTTCCACCGACTGGACCCCTACAAACGAGACCAGCAAGACAGGTGGATCACCCACTCCGTCATGGACCTGGACACGCCGGACCCTCTGGTGAGACACTGATCAGAGCTGCACTTCCTGTTGAAAGGACACACAAGATTAACAGCATCACATGCAGCATCCAATGTATAATGTGCTGGTGATATGGAAATTTCAGGCAGAAGTGCTAAAATACAAAATATGCGAGAAAGAGAGCTTTATTAATCAAGGTGTACCACAAAACATTTTTTTTTAAGTATTTTTAATATTTTTTAAATAGTAATGTTTTACATTAAGATAACAAAATAGGCCTATTTGTGGTGCATACTTCTTAAAAGACAAAAACTTTTTTAAAATGTGTAAAAAAATAAAAAAGTAAATGAGAAAAATAAACAATAAATTCTGTTTTTATTGATATGGTCTTGTTTTTAAATGGATGATTATATCATAAAAATCATTTTAGAATATGCAACATTAATGGGTTACAAGATATACAGTGTGTAATATTATATGTAGTTTGGGGTCTTTAAAACATGTAATACTTTTATTTAGCAAGGATACACTAAATTGATCAAAAGGAACAGTCAAATATTTATTTGTCAAGTTAATGCTGCTTTTGAATTTTCTATTTATAAAAAAATCCTGAAAGAAACATTACATTTCAACATTGATTAATAATAAGAAATGTTTCTGGAGCATCAAATCAGCATAATAGAATTATTTATAAAGGATCATGTGACACTGAAGACTTGAGTAATGATCCATCACAGAAATATATTACATTTGAAAATATATTAAACAGAAAACAGGTATTGTAAATTGTAATAATATTTCACAATATTACTGTTTGTACTGCATTTAAAATTCAGCCTCGGTGAGCATAAGAGGCTTCTTTCAACAATATTAATAATCTCACTGACCCCTTTTTAAATGAATTGATGATAAATAAATGCTCAATTAAAGATATTTCTTATTTCTACAGATCATAAAAATTACATCAGAATAACCTTAGTTCCGGGTGTTGCTCTAAAAGATTGTCATGATGATAAGGACACATTATTTTCTCTTGAAGAGACACTTTAAAGTCACTGATTAGAGATGTCAGAGTAGACGCTCACATCCTGTGTGCGGTTGAGGAAGTGTGTTTAGATTCGACTGCATGTGTGAGCTGCTTCAGGCCAGTGCGGGTGTCTTCAATAAGAGCTGAGCAGCTTTCTGTCAGGAGAAATTAAGAGAAAAACATTTGACATAGTTTGCAGAATGCTTCAAAGAAAACCATCCAATGTCTCTGACAAATCAAGGAACAAACCCAAGGTAAAAACAATTTTTTATTCCAAAAAACAAAACAAAAAAACACACACTTTGTCCATCTGTTGTGGTGAAATGATACATTACGCAAGTACTGTGAGTGCTCAGCTAACAGTTACTCTGTTCTAGACTTCTTAGCCATATGAAAATCTGTAACCTTTAGTGACCGTTAGTGATCTCTTCTGTGACCGCAGGATTATGGTGTGAAACTCAAGATGCAATCAAGACAGCTGCAGACCACTTTAACCTATTTTATCTCATTTTGGTTCAGCGTTCCACCAGCTTTGGGATTTTCGACAGACAGCAGCCCACCCAGGTCAAGGCAGAAGAGAAGGTAGAAAGTATGGTGAGTTTGGTTTCTTTTGTCATTAAAGCACATATGAAAAGCTGGACTCTGAAATCTCCCGTACTGAACTCCATGTGTGTCTCTGTAGCCTGTGGAAGCAGCTGAGGCGGATCCCAGTAAATCAGGAGGTCTCGGGAAGAAGATGAAGAACATCTCACTGACCATGCGTAAAAAGATGGGCAGGAAATACACTAAAGCCCTGTCAGAGGAAATGGTGAGCGCTTGCTTGACAGTTCAGCAACACTAACCTTTACAACAACATCAAAACTTACAGTACCCACCGTGTTGTTACACTTAAAAACAAAGGTTCTTTAGGTTTAGCAAACAATGCTCTTCTTATCAAATAACGATGTTGCATCACAGGTTGTTCAGATCAGCATATTGGCTTTTGGGTTCTTTAAAGGGATAGTTCACCCAAAAATGAAAATTCTGTCATCGTTTACTCACCCTCATGTCGTTCCAAGCTTGCATTTCTTTCTTCTGTGAAACACAGAAGAAGATATTTTGAAGAATGTTGCTAGTTCCCATGGACTTTCATTGTATAATACAAGTCAGTGGGAACTAAAATGAAAGTTCTCTCATTATTTACTCACTCTTACGTTGTTCCAAACCTGTATGCATTACTTTGTTTTGTGGACCATAAGACAAAATAGAAGAATGTTGGTAACCAAACAGTTTTGGGTTCCATTGACTTCTGTAGTACATTTTGGCCATATAATGGAAGTGAATGGGAGCCAAAACCATTTGGTTTCCAACATTCTTCAAAATGTCTTCTTTTGTGTTGCAAAGAAAGTCATACAGGTTTGAAACAAAGTGATTGGGAATAAATGATGACAGAATTTTTATTTTTGGTGGACTATCTCTTCAAAGGGTTCATTTTACAAACACAAAAATTAATATTTTGTATTTGTAATAGTGGGAAAAATGAAAAAGGTACCATAAAAGGATCATAAAAGTAGTGCATATGAACTGTATGCTATATGCCAAGAGTTATAAAATAGATTTTGTGTAAAGAAAATACCAACATTTAAGTCTTTGTTCTCTGAAAATTTTCTTAGATCCTTTCAAAAATCTTCCTCAGCAAGAAACTGTTTTTCTAAACATCAACAAAAAAGACAGTAAAGAGTTCAAGTTCTTTTCAGAACTTAAAAGGTCTACCATGTTTATCCTGAGTAAATGGTGTGAGTCTGAGGTATTAAAGCAGTTTTCTCATTTATTTCAAGCTTATTTACAAAGTGGTGAACCTTTATTTTGCCGCTGTACTATAAAGAGCTTCTGAGGAGCTTGTGTGGGCGGATTACATGCAGCTCCCATGTCTGAGGTAAAAATGGCAGCACAGCTCTCGCGGATTAAAGACTTTGCTCCCTCGAGCGACCCGCGGCCTGGCACGACCTGATTTGCTACCTGAAGACCTGTCACGTATCAGTTTTGGTTGGGACTCTTGGCTGAGACTTTCCCTGATGTTTTTCACAGGGCGAGGAGAACGAAGCTGCGGCGGCTGAAGTCGTGGACGGCACGTTGGCCAAAGGCTGCAACCACTCCAGTAACTCGGTAGAGAGTCTGTTCAGTTTGCACAGCGGCCAGAGTTCATCTAGTAAGCTGAATTAAACTAGTCGACCATTTATTATATGGATCACGGGTCTAATCTGCGTTTTAAAGTGTAAAACAGCTGCCACAGAAGCCAAAATGTACTACTTACTCAATTTACATTTTGGCGCAGATGTGCTTTTGACATTTCAGCCATGTGGTTTGAGTTTCACTGGTTGTTTTTGCATTTCCTGATGCTTTAGGTGGTGTGACAAGCGGCTCTGAGGGTTGTAGTAACAGGGACAGCCTTCGTTTAGAAGAAGATGTGCCCTACACGGGCCAGTTCTGTGGAAGAGCCAAGGTCCACACCGACTTCGTTCCCAGTCCATATGACACAGAGTCTCTCAAACTCAAGGTAAAAACCAACCTGAGATGTTCAGGAATAAAAAAACGAACTCAACTCAACTCAGAACTATTAACATGAGTTCTTTTTCGTTTGTAAGGTGGGAGATGTGATTGATATCATCAGCAAACCTGCAATGGGAATCTGGACTGGGATGTTGAACGGTAAAATAGGAAACTTTAAGTTCATCTACGTCGACGTGCTGGTGGAAGAAAGCGCGCCAGAACCGAGGATTCGCTCTCACCGGAGCAGCAGAAGACCTCGACCCAAAACTCTTCAGGAACTTCTGGAAAGACTCAATTTGGAGGTGCTTAAAATGTCTAATTAAATACTAAAGCTGATGATTAAGCTTGTTATACCCAAAGATTCACATTCAAACATCTCAAAAACAGGATGTAAGGTATTATCTGATGTAGTTGGCGCTATTTTAACAGACAAAAATGTTTCCGCAGGAGCACATTTCATCTTTGCTCTTGAATGGGTATCAGACAGTGGAAGATCTTCGGGATTTGAAGGAGCAGCATCTCGTAGAGCTCAATGTGACCGACCCTGAACACAGACACCGGCTGCTATTGGCGGCAGAATACCTGCAGGACGCTGAATGTAAGTGGTTGAACATCAGAAGTCATCAAAATATTAATAAATTCCAGGAAATGGCACATTTATGATGCCTTTTTGGCATTTTAGCTTTTATATAAAAGTTCTCACAGTTTAAGCACTGATGTAGGATGAGCACCTCAGCGCTGTGATCGTACAGTGTCTTAGAAGCTCAAAAACAAACCTCATCAAAGCCACACGGGTTGAAAACACTACTTTTCACACATTTTCCCTCAGATAAAAATCTAGTTCCTTTCCACTCGTGTCTGATAACTTTATTGACATATAAAACAAAACAAAGATGAGATAAAATACATTTAAATGTTTATTTTTTTAATTAAAAAATAAAATAAAAATAAATAAAATATATTTTATAAATTTAAAATAATGTAAAATATTTAAAAATGTTTAAGAAAATTAAAATATTAAACATTTGAACAAAATGTCATGACATAAATGGAACACAAAACAAGGATTGAATAAAAAGGATTAGTAAAATATATTTTTAATTATACAATTAATTTCTGTGTGTGTATGAATAAAAATGGTTTTCATAATTCGAAATTTAATAAAACAAAGATGAGATAAAATACATTTCAAAATTTTACATACTGTATATTGTTTTTAAATTAGATGTTAAAATGTGTTTAAATTAGATGTTGTTTTATATAAAGCGGGTAAAATAAGTATTGAACACATGACCATTTTTCTCAGTAAATATATTTCTAAAGGTGCTGTTGACATGAAATTTTCACCAGATGTGGGAAACAACCCAAGTAATCCATACATACAAAGAAAACAATACAAATACGTTCAGAAATTAAGTTCTGTGTAATAAAATGGAATGACACAGGAAAAAAAGTATTGAAAACATGAAGAAAGGGAGGTGCAAAAAGGCATGGAAAGCCAAGACACCATTCTTTATGCACCAAGAGCTTGTAACACTCCAAAGAGAAAGGAAAAATTGAAATCGCATCATATGACCCCCCTTTAAGTTCTGTGTAATAAAGTGGAATGACACCGGGTAAAAGTATTGAACACATGAAGAAAGGGAGGAGCAAAAAGGCATGGAAAGCCAAGACACCAGCAGAAATCTATCAGTAATTAGAAAGCAATCCTGCCCCTTGTCAGTGGAAATAATTTTAGCTGGTTCAGTCTCAACTGTTGGCCTATAAAAAGGTGTCTCATGACCAACGTGTCACACAAGAAACATTTCATGATGGGTAAAAGCAAAGATCTCTCGCAAGACCTTCACAACCTTATTGTTGCAAAACATCCTGATGGCATTGTTTACAGAAACATTTCTATACTTCTGAATGTTCCAGTGAGCACTGTTGGGCCCATAATCCGGAAGTGGAAAGAACATCATTTCACCTTAAACCGGCCACGACCAGGTGCTCCTCGCACGATTTCTGACAGAGCAGTGAAAAAAATTATCAGAAGAGTTTTCTAAGAGCCAAGGACCACTTGTGGAGAGCTTCAGAAAGACCTGGAATTAGCAGGTACAATTGTTTCAAAGAAAACAATAAGTAATGCACTCAACCGTAATGAGACACCTTTTTATAGGCCAACAGTTGAGACTGAACCAGCTAATATTATTTCCACTGACAAGGGTCAGTGCTTTCTAATTACTGATAGATTTCTGCTGGTGTCTTGGCTTTCCATGCCTTTTTGCTCCTTCATTTCTTCATGTGTTCAATACTTTTTCCCTGTGTCATTCTACTTTATTACACAGAACTTAATTTCTGAACTTATTTGTTTTGTTTTGTATGTATGGATTACTTGGGTTGTTACCGACATCTGGTGTAAATTTCATGTCAACAGCACCTTTAGGAATATATTTACCGAGAAAAATGGTGACGTGTTCAATACTTATTTTACCCACTGTATATATATATATATATATATATACATAAAGATTACAAAAATCACACACAATTAGTAAGCTTAAAGTAAAACTGGAAATCTTGCCTTGTCAACTAACTGAAACCAGTTTACACTGAATTAATAAAATTACCAAAGCTGAAATAAAAAAAATGTAAGCTAAATAGAAAAATAAAGAGAAACTAATACAAATTGTCAAAAGCACATACAATTACGAAATTTTGTACTAAAATAAAAGCTGAAGATACAAAAATAAAAGCTAGCTCAAAATATACATGTGTAGTGTATCCAGATATCTCTATTCACTATCATACTGGCGAAACAGTGCATATTTGTGTTTGCAGAGGTTTCTATTTACACTGTTTATCACAGAGTTGAGCAACATAGCCGATCACAGACAGATCTGTCGAATCACTGCCAATCACTAGAATTCACTCACCGCTCAAAACACCAGAGTTTTTGTCCATCGCTTAGTTTTGCAAGCTCATGGATCCTCTCATTATAACAAAACTTCATGAGATCATGATGCGCTAAAACGAGGAACAGCTTTTCAGTGATTATAAATGCTATATTCTAGGCTTTATATAATCCATTCAGAATTTGTATAAAACTTTTGCTTTTCGGGCACACACGCTGCAAAGACATATGCATATTTATGTGGTATTCATACTCAAAAGAGCAATGGACGGGACAAAAATATACGTGAAAATGTATGTGCATTGAGGCTAGAGCACACTCACTAATTTCTGAAGAGCCCTCAGTATTTAATTCTGGAAAAAACTGTGTTGGAGCAGTTCTCATGATCAGTAGCTCATATTCAGGCGATCGCATGGAGTTTTATGTGGCAGTAGGCTATGCTTCAAAGTCGAAAAAATAAGCAAGATTTTTGTGAATCGGAAAACGGAAGAATTGTGATTTCTTCCATGAAAATCTCTACCCAGCTAGAGTAAACATTAATGCTTCATTGAATACTCTGTTCAACTGCTGAGTTCATCATTGACAGCAGTGTCGTCGTGATTCTGAATATGAACAGATTCACTGAAACTGAAGCTTCAAATGTCTGGTTATCAGAGATGAAACGAAGGGGCTGAAGCTGGTAATTAATATGAGTGTGTTTGATGACTGTATAACGTCGTGTCGTGCGAGCGTCGCTATCACGAATCCGATACAAAGAGGATAAAGCGGCTCCGTCAGCGGGACGGGATTAAACGCTCCCACTGCGTCTATTCACACCAATTACTCGCACACACAAAAGGCCAATTTGTTTTTGCAAAGCCTGATACGCGGCTAATGCTCTGAGCTCAGACGAGAACGCGGCGCGACGCTAACAGCCCTGAACGCTGTTCGTCGCGCGGCGAGCGTAAGCCTGTCAGACGCAGCGGAAGCGTTTCCGGCACAGTTCGCTTCACGCTCATCAGAAGCAGAGGCTCGTGGAGCCCGCGACAGGAAACCGGAGGTTCAGGTCAGAGCCTATAGAGACGCTTCACGCTTCAACAAAACACACTCTTTACGCTTTAACCAGTTCAGGGGCTCCAGTCTGTACACTCACAGTCATGCATTGGCAGGAGCTTTTATTCAGATCACGCATTACACCAGTTCAAGCTGCTGCCAGCGCCACCTACTGTCTCAACCACATACACAATGACTGTGCGATTCTAAATGTAAATCACTCTTTGTGTATTGTTCTACCTTTATTCAACTTATTACATTTTTCTGGACGTATATTATGTTTGTGTTTTTGTTTGTTTGTTTTTATTCCACGTAATTATTTTTGTAGATTACCTAAAATTTGTATCTAATTCTACTTATTTAATTTTCTAGATGTATATTACGTTAAGTTTTTACATCCTACTTCTTTTTTTACTTTTTTTTCTTATTTATTTTTTATTTTTTTGTGTTTAGCACGCGCTTATAACACACACATATATATCACATATTAAAACTATGACAATGTATATGTGGATAGATTATCCTCCATAATGTCAAGTGTTTTGAGTTTGATTGATGCTCATTTAATGGTTGTAACTGCTGAAGGTCCCTAAAGAGAAGGATGAGATGGTAGAGCAAGAGTTCAATCGCTTGTA